GAGCATGTTTGGTGTGACGGGGATTCGAACCCGCGACCCACAGATTGCGAGTTGAGTGCCCTAACCACCTGGCCATGCCGGGCCTCTCTAAATATGTTCTCTGAAATATCTACCAAGTAGATTTGACTATCTGATTTGGATCCCCACGGTTTCTACTGGATACGCCACTGTACTTTGTTCTAAGTTCTGTCAGTCTTGCGATTTTCTGATTGCTATGTGAGTCACATTTAGATCACTCTTGGGATTAAAACCATGTATTACAGCCAACTGAGAACTGCAGCCATATCGGCGCTTATCAAACCAATTAGGTCGATGTGGAGATATACGACTAGATACATTTATTGTCCTAGAAAGTTCTAAAAGTGAAGTGTCTTTTTCCTGTTATATGTAATCTTGGATATAATATATCATTTAAATTGTACAGAATTACGAACTGTGTTCCTTTTTTGTTTTCAGAGCGAAATTCGAAAGTAGTAGTAATTTGTATTTTGTGAAAAACATATTGTGACAAGATTTAAAAATATAATGTCTATTGTTTTCGATGCTTGTCAGAACGTACACGTTGTACTCAAGGCTATTAGAAACTATAGATCCTTAATGTTTACCACCATATGACCAAACACATAATTTCAAAGAAATAAAAAGCTATTTGACTTCACAGTGGATTAGACATTCAATATGCGAGTATTTTCACATGAAAGATAAACACACGCACAGACTATATATACAATAGAACCTCGATTAATGAGCACCTCGTCATTTTCAGTCACTTTCTTTTTTCTACTATTTGTAAACAAAATAAATCTTGCAATAACGGGCACCTCGATATTCCGTATTAAGGGCAGTTAATCCTTTCCCTGCGGGCAGGTTACAGTGGGCATTAGAGAGTTATTTACAAAATTTTATTAAATAACTTTAGTATTACGCATAACACTGTAAGTATTCAAAATCTTTGTTTTTTCGAAGTATTTTTTTTATTTATTCTTCTATGTTTTAATAAAAATCACTAAAATTTAAGCATTTGTGAATAAAGAGTATTTATTAGTTGATGAATAAATTTGCTGAAAGGAGAATAGAAATTTATAACTATTGCACAAATATCTTTGTATG